GCCATCTGCTGGACACTTTTTGTTGTGCTCATATTTAGACGTCCGATTTTGCAAATGCTGCCTTTTTGAAATTTTAGGAAACTGGAATGCACATCTTTGATTTTAACACATTTGGTAGTACTTGTAGAAGGGTGGGATTTGGGGAGGCAAAAAATGGTTATTACTAACTACTGTTGTAATTGTTAAACACAATCAATATATAGTACATACTTTGATTAAAAAATAAGTAACAAAGGTCCAGCCAAAAACTAACAGTAGCATAAGACAGAAAAGAGTAAGTCTGCTGAAGCTAATTTTAAAGAGATTTGTCGATGTGTATTTTTGGGGAAATTTTTTTACAAAGTTACAAAAAACAAAAGCATAAATGTATAAAATATCACAAGGTTACCAGAAATAAATAGCAAAAAATACAGAAAAATAGAAAACATTAAAGCCAAAGCAAAGCTTCCTCTGCTCTGTTGATATAGCAAGCCCTTTTTACTGTAAGTAAACCTATGATGTAAAGATATGTATGCCAGTTTCAGCGTATCGCCTGAAGTACTACTGTAAAGAAATCGTTCTGTCTGTGTCTTCAGGCTCTTTTGCAGATGGTTCAGTCTCATGATGGATCCATCCGGTCAGTAATGGAGAAGGGAGACACTTTGTTGGCCTCAGTCCACTACCCCTCTGTTAGAGACAAAATGCACAAACTGCAGAGGGACAACACTGCGCTCTGCAACGCTGCAATGGTGAGGACTGCGTCGACACTTGTGATGTTCACAATAAACAACACAGTAGTATAAGAGCACGTGGAGCGTGGTGATCTTGATTTCTCTCATTGACTGTTTCTACTGTGCGTGGTTTTGCGGCGTCCAGGCTCACGTGGAAAACCTGGAAAGCCAGGTGAAGGAACAGGAGGCRTACCACAGCGAGCTCCAGGAAGTGGAGCGCTGGCTGCTGCAGATGTCCAGCAGGATGGTGACTCCTGATCCAAGCGTGAGCAGCAGCCTGGAGGCAGCGACTCAACAGCTGGCCAGGCACAAGGTGACAAATCGCATTATTTCGCTCTGGCTGCTGTTTGCCGCGCTCGTGACAAACTGTGCAGCGTGAGTAATAAACCCTAATTAGAGGAAGACGTCCTTGAATTTTGAACCCGGGTTCCAAAATTTAGACTTTCTCTACATTGTTCAACGGTGTTGTTTGATTATTGTTTCTCAATCCCTGCATGGTTCATTCTTTTCCATTTCAAAATAAAATAGCAAAAAAGAAAACAACAGGGTTTTTTTTTTTGGTTTTTTTATCTGTTTTCAAAACCTAAATGCAAACATGTAAAATCAAACTACTTAAAAATCCAGTGTTTGATTTTTGCTCAGTCTAAAATAAAATAACCGGTTGTTTTAATATGTACATAGAGTGTTGTGGTCAGTTTGACCCAGCAATCAGAATGAAGGGTAGAAAGGGTCAAAAGTGTCCGATACTATTTGTTTCTTTGCAACTGTGAGACATATTTCACCTCAAACACACACACACACACACACACACACACACTGACAGATATTGGGACAATGTGGCACAAGTGGGTTGAGCAATGTCCACTGCTTTAGGCCCTGATGTCACAGTGGATGAAGGTTTGTGGCATTCAGAGGTTGCTGCTCATTTAAAGAATAAAGTTTATTTTCAATGTAGACCTTCATGACTCGTTTGTCTTGGTTTTTCATTAGTGGATCAATTTGACCCAGAACAAAATAGGTGTCTCAAGTTCAATTATAAACATCACTCCACAAAAAATAAAAAATAAAAAAATTCTAAAAAAAATCAATTTAATGATTAATCTTTTTTTGTGTATGTTTTTGTATTGGACATAAAAAAATGTAACATGCTTTTTTTTAGGAAAACGAGTGACTTGTCCTCATTGATCCTTTATCTGAAATTAATAAAAAATCAATTCACAAATATTGATTGAAATTGTTAGTAATGGACTTAATAATCAGATATAAAAATGTTTTGGGGGATTTTTTTGGTTTTTGACACTATAGCATGATTAAACATGCCCTGGGTCAAACTGACCCAGGAACATTATTGCTGTTCCTCTGAAACGAACATATAGTGGTTTGCAAAAGTATTCATACACCTTGAACTTTTCCATATTTTGTCACATTACAACCACAAACATAAATATACACTCACCGGCCACTTTATTAGGTACACCTGTCCAACTGCTCGTTAACACTTAATTTCTAATCAGCCAATCACATGG